AGAATGTAAGACACCCAACACCAAAATCAGTGGACTATTTCCACCCTCGTGTATCTCCTTGGTTCATTTTTTTAGAGTGTAAATGTTTTTCTAAATGATTTCTGTGAGCTCTTTATACATTCTGGCATCCCCCAGACACATACCAGTGAGTGCCAAATAGAGCTAGCTATGTGCTGAAGGGCAGGGAGAGGTCAATCTTTATACCTATCTCACAAAAGCTAAATTCAAAGGAACTAAAGCATCTTTTTGTACAAAATAATGATAAGATCACATAATATTTTTCCAAAAATACTAGAGTTAACCAAGCTCATATGACAAGAAAAGTGTTAAACAAAATAGAAAAAACAGTATTTCACACTACCATGCACTTCCACAGAGGACATTAGGTAATACATACTCAGAAGCTGTTCATCTCTCTGTTTCCTCCGAGGCTGCACATACGTAGCATTAAATGAATCTGTGATAAGCAGGGAGGGTCTGCTTAGCATTTCCAGGGAACATCCATTTAAATGGCTATAACAAAGTTGAAGAAGAGAAATATTTTACATCACCTCAAATAAACAGTAGCTTATCTCACCTAAAAAAAAGCAACTTTCTTTTATAAGATTTTCCTCTAACTATAAAAGTACACATGCTCATTGATAAGAAATCTAATATATTAAAAAAAAATTTTTAAAAAGGAAAATTAAGATCTTCCAGCGTACCACCACTCGGAGAAATCGATATATTATTCTGGCATATATCCTTCTAAGCATATAAACACAGTTTTCTATGCATATACGTGTGAACGTATTTTTTAAAAGTGGCATCCCATGTCTATATATTCAGTTCTATACCCTGGTTTTCTCCCATGACCTTAAAATTGGTTTCTAAATCTATTTTTCTAACAACTGTAAGAACTTCCTACTGTGTGTTTTATTTGATCACTTCCCTTATTATTTAGGTTACTTTTCTTGTCATTATAAATAATCTCAAAGAACATTTTGGCAAAAAGTTTCAATTGCATTTCTGACGGTTTCTTTAGGACACATTCCTAGAGATGTATTTACTACAATATACAATTTTGCTAACTGGCTTGCAGAAAGATTTAACCTTTTCTAGAAAGCTCTCCCTTTTCCAGAAAAGTTCAACCAGAAAGAATGAGCAACTCACACAATATTTCCTGGAAGAATATTACCATTTAAGAGTCATTTTAATGGTATGTAATTTTAAAAAGAATTATCATTTTAATTTTACATTATAACTTTTGTCCATTTTGTCACTGGCATCTTTTTGATTGGTTAATATCTGGTCTTCTACATATAAATGTCTTTAGCCAACTTGCTGCAAATATTTTCTCTATTGTATTGGTCTTAATTATTTCAGACATTTTGAATCTGTATATAACCAAATCTATCAAAGTTTTCTGTTGTAACCTGGTCTGGTAACTTTATACTTACAAACTCTTTTCCAAATCAGAGATTAGACTCATGAATATTGTTTCATTTTCTATTTAATTTTAATCCATCTAAAATACATTTGATAAGCAGTAAAAAAAAAAAAAAAAAAAAAAAAAAAAAAGACACAAACTTTCCCCCAAAATGTCTGAATACCATTACTCAAAAATCCATCCTTTACTCATTAATCTGTGACTACAAAAGCCTAAAATTCATTACTTATATATCTCTAAATAGAAGATCCAGAAGGTCTTGAGGCTTTTGTAATCTAATGCAAAATAACTATAAACTTAATGTACAGAAATTACAAAAGAAGCCTCTACAAAACGATTTTATTGTAATGTTGTGAATACAAAATGAAATACTTAAACTTACAACTACTATGTTCCCTTTTAAAGGGAGTCTGACTTCATTTTTTTTTTTTAAGGGAGTCTGACTTCAAATGTAGTTATATGATAATTACTAACTTTATTAAAAAAAAAAAAACACCCATCCACAAAGTTCCTTTAAATAGCAGGTGAAGTAGCATATAAGATATAATTTTATGTACAAAAATTAATCTCCTTTCCAACATCTCCAGGGAGATACCTGTTTTATAGAGCGGATACTTACGTGTAAATTTGTAAAATATATTTTATCTCTTATATCAAAGTTTTCCCTTACAGTGAAAATAATTAAGTTTGAAAACGTTCACTACTTGAGGCTTTTAAATAGTTCTAGATTTCTGGTTAAAAAAAAATAACTTTTTAAGTTTCCCCCCAAAGAATGAAACACCACCAACTGCATCTCCGTTAGCTTTTGTCTTGATATACCTACATCTCCCTCTTGTGGTTAAAGTCAACTGCATAGACAATTTCTTCTTCTCCATCTTTGACTATTTTCCATATTGTTCCACCTATCATATGACCAGCTGGCAGAGGTGTGATAGACAAGCCATGTCCTTTACCTGTGTCAAAAAGATAATGACAATACTCAGATTTCTTTTACAATCCTAAAGAAAGCTTATTTACTTGTAAACTATTTTTAATAGCTAATATATACAGTGATACAACATTCCAAAGTAACAAGGCATACAATGAAAATGCAAGTCTCACTCTCCTGTCCCCCAGCTACTCTACTCCTTCACTATAGACAAACACTCTTGTCATATTGTTATGAATTCTTGCAGACCTATTGGTGCTTATAAAAAGCAGTATATAGAAATCAAGTTTAAAAGCCAATACACTATTAATTACTTAGTATGAATGAATACATTTGAATATTTTTTGTTTTTACTTATTTATTTTGAGAGAGAGAGAGCAAGTTAAGAGTGGGGAAGAGGGAGAGGGGGTGGGGGGAGAGGGAGGGAAAGAGAGGGAGGGTGGAGAGACAGAGACAGAGACAGACTCCCACGCAGGCTCTGCAGTGTCAGTGCAGAACCCAATGAGGGGCTCGATCTCATGAACTGTGAGATCATGACCTGAGCCGAAATCAAGATTCAGACACTTAACCAAGTAAATCATCCAGGCACTCCAAATACATTTGAATATTTACACTGTACACACAATCATCAAATGTTTCTCCTTCTGCTAACCTCTAAACTCACAAAGTAACCATTCAGATCTCATTATGGTAAAAAATCTATCCTACAGAAAAATTAAGCACAAGCAAAACTGTTGTGACCATTGTTATTTCTTGACTAAATCACCAGAGTCCACTGTTATGCCATTTTTTCAATTTCATTGCCAGGCTTCATCTTTATGACAATCTTTAATACCTATCTCTCCACAGAGGAGAAATGTGTACTTAAGAGAGGACTTCCTGACCTAATTACATAATAAACTTCTTAATATCCGATTCTAGAATTCAGTTATCTGCTACTATGCCGCCAAGGCACTGCATCTCCTTCAAGGCCTGAACACCACCTCCAGTCACCAGAGCGGCTTTAGCCCCTCAACCCCACTGTGAAGTCCTAGGAGGAGGATGCGGCCACATCACCTTTGTGCACCATACACAGGAAACACTAAGTTTTCCCCGGCTGCATGTGAAAAGGCTTGAGCTACTAACGTTTTGTTGCTATTTAGCCTGGACTATTTTAAAATCCAAACGACTTGGGAGAAGTTCAGCGTCCATATCAGAACTAATCAGATGCTAATCTTTGCTTTTTCAGACCACAGGCCCTAGGATATTTACTACAAGTTCTCCCTGGACTTGTCAGCAGCTTAAACCCTGTTAGTCCAATTACTACTGCAGACATTCTTTTACCTTTCAAATTCACAATCTGAGAGAATTTTAACTGCTGTATTTTATCAAAGGCTGCATCCACATCGTCTAATGTAAAGAGCGTAAAGTCCTCTGTGTTGTGTCGAGACTAAAAGAAAAACACAAATAAAAGGTTAAAAATGATCACTGCAGGAGTATAAAAAGCTTTTTTTTTACCACTTCACTTACCTGGTAAAGATCATACATGAACATCTGCCCCATTTTATAAACAGGAATGGTCGCATAGATCGCACAATTCAGCCCCAGCTTCCCGACAGCAGACGGGAGGGCACCAAGATGGAGAGGATCAGGATGGGACAACAGCACTGCATCAATCTGGTGAACATGCCTACAAGAACAGGATCAAAACGCTCTCTCCATTTCTCCAGACTTGTTTTGAAGAGTAAAGACTATGCTGGGGTCAAAGAGGAAAACTAAGAGCTAAAGTTACGACACCAATCAAGTTCAGTTATTACTACCCCCATGTTGCATAGATATCACAAGTATGGAATATGTGCACAGAAACAGGTGATGTCTATACACATCTTTTTTAAAAAAAGGAGAAAGAGGGGCGCCTGGGTGGCTCGCTCAGTCGGTTAAGTGTCCGACTTCAGCTCAGGTCACGATCTCACGGTTCCTGAGTTCGAGCCCCGCGTCGGGCTCTGTGCTGACAGCTCGGAGCCTGGAGCCTGCTTGGGATTCTGTGTCTCCCTCTCTCCCTCCCCTGTTCACACTCTGTTTCTCTCTCAAAAAATAATAAACATTAAAAAAAATTTTTAAAGGAAAAAGAGAACCAGTAGACACACCACACAGAAGCTGATTTTCATTGGTTATCTTATATGCCATTAATTTAGGTTGAAGAACTCAACTTGAAATTTCAGAAATTGTTCATTCAGAAATGGCCACACGTTTATTATGGATTTTTGCCTCCGCTCTTTAGCATGGTGCCTGATAGCACATTCTACAGTGAAACTTCAATTAATCAATAAAGCACACACTCTCACTGACAGAGAAAATTAGGAAAAAAAAAATGTTTTGCTACAAGTTCTAGTTTCCAAATATTTCAGTCCCCTTTCCTTCCATAATTAATATAACTGAAAACATAACTGAATTTTTCTTTGATGGATCAGTATTGTTTTATATCACATGGTCAGTATTCTGGGCACCAATTCTCAGTGTAGAGCCTCAAAACACATAGAAAGTAAGCAAATGTGATCTGACGGCAGACCTTCCACAGCGAAGGTTTTTTCCTCTTCAAATTCTTCTAAACCTAATCTTCTCTAAAATTAGGGTGCAAAGATCTCTACTGGGACCCATTAGCCAAGTAACAATTAACATTTTACTGAATCTCAATAAACATAGCTCATAATACAATCAAAACTTTAAAAATGAAAACAGTCGCTTTTTGGCTCTGGCATGCAAAATCAGGTCTTTTACTATAAATCAGAGCAAAGAGAACATACACTGGGTCACATCAAAATGGTATCATGGTGTAGAAAAGAGAAGTTGATTTAACTGAAGTCTAAAAATAGGAGAAGTAACTTACTTCCTCAGGGAGTCTATAATATCCATAGAAAAGTGCTCATCCCAGCCACAGTCCAGGAGAAACCTAAACTCGTCAACTTGCAGAAGATAGCAAAGAGCAGACTCTTCCTGAACCCCCGAGAGGGTAGTTAATTTGATAATAGATGTCATTTTTGGTCCAAAAACAACAATCCAAAAAGTTCTTTTAAAAGAAATAAAAATATAATTAAACACACATCATAGTCTAACACACGTAATACACAAATTAACATTGTATCAAGTTTCTAAGTGATTAAAAATTCCATAAAGAGAGAAAGCAAACACATTAAAGACCTACTTCCATCACTGCTAAATTTGAAAGCACAAACATGACGTTACACACTCTTG